GATCATTTTCAGCAAACTAGAATATTTGGAACTTGTCAAGTTAGAAAGCCTCGCCAGCTTCTGCACAGGAAATCACACCTTCAAATTCCCATCATTGAAGGAAATTGTTGTGAGACAATGCCCCAAGATGAGGATTTTCTCTCCCAGAGTTGTAAGCACGCCTAAGCTACAGGGAGTATGTTTTGCCAAGAATAAAGTGTGTTGGCAGGGAAATCTTAATAACACCATACAACAGCTGTACACAGACATGGTATGTACCGATAACTCAAGCATTTTAGTAATCATCATTTTTTTTTGTACTAATTCATTATTATGGTTGAGCAGGTTGGATTTGGTAATATATGGGAGTTAAAGCTCTCTGATTTTCCCCAATTAAAAGAGAGATGGCACGACCAACTTCCCTTCAACTTTTGTAGAATTTTGGCAAACCTCACGGTGGATGACTGTGCATTTGTCTCCAATGCTATACCATCCAATCTACTACAGTTCATGAATAACTTGAGACATCTGTATGTGAGAAACTGTGATTCTCTTGAAGAAGTATTTGATTTGGAGGGGCTCAATGCTGAGGAAGGGCATGCTCAGCTGTTGCCCAATTTAAAGGAATTGCAGTTGATTGATCTGCCAAGGCTGAGGGATATATGCAGCAGGGATCCTCAAGGAATTTTGGACTTCAAAAACCTGAAATCGTTGAAAATTCATAATTGTAGCAGTTTGAGAGATTTATTTACACCATCCATGGCATCTGGCCTTGTGCAACTCCACAAGATAGAAATAAGAAACTGTGCCATGATGGAAAAGATCATCACAGAAGAGAGAGTAGAGGAAGCAGCAACATATAGAATCATATTCCCTGTACTGAAAGTGATAGTTCTCGAGTCCTTACATAGCATGACCAGTATCTATTCAGGAACTGGTAAACTGGGAATTCCATCCTTAGAGGAGATTGGCATAGACAATTGTCCAAATTTGAAGACATTTATTTCCTCATTTTTGAGTGAGCATGTACCAATTTCAGTCAATAAGGGACAAGAATATAGACTACGTGAGCGAGACCATGATATTTCCACTGCTCCATTTCTCAATCATAAGGTCAGTTTCTTTATCTGAGGCTTTTTCACAACTTATTAGAACTTTTGCCTCCAATATGTGACCATGCAGTTACATAATTCTCAAACCATTCTGCAATTACTCCCACTTTTTATACTTGTAGATGCTAACGTTGCAAATACTATTGGTTGAGAGATGATCATAAATTTAAATTGGGAAGGGAAAAGAAAACCATTTTAAAATAAGACTTGTGGTAGGACCTGCCAATCAGTGTGGTTCTTGACAATAAATTGCAGGAAATAAAAGTTTATTTTTTGTCTTTGACTTGGATCCCAGGTTGCATTTCCAAACATGAAAAAGTTGAGAGTGGAATGGAATGATGTGATGGAGGTTATACAGACTGGCCAATTCCGAGTTGAGTACTTGTACAAACTGGAAGGTCTTACACTCATGCGCTTCCCCTGTGACAATATTGATTTTCCATCCCATTTTCTTCAAAGATTCATCAATTTAAAAAATCTTGTTATAAGAGATGCCTCTTTCGAAGAAATAGTATTGTATGAAGGGAAAGATGATGAAGAAAATCATATCAGGGTTTTGGCACAATTAAAAAAACTGGAGCTGTCTAAACTGCCGAAACTCATGCATCTGTCAAAAGAAGGTTCTCAGACATGCAAGATTTTTCAGAATTTGGAAAGTTTAAGGGTATTGGAATGTGGCATGCTGAAAATTCTAATTCCATCAGCATTGTCTTTCCAGTGTTTAACGACCCTGGAAGTGTCAAACTGTCATGGATTGATAAATTTGATGACGTCTTCAACAGCCAAATATCTGGTGCAACTCTCATCTATGAGTGTAACTGAATGCAAAATGATTGAAGAAATTATAGTGAGCGAGGAGAAAGAGGTAGCAAATGAGATCATTTTTCAGAAATTAGAGCATTTGAGACTTCGATGCTTGCCAAGCCTAACAAGTTTCCACTCAGGGAAATGTGCGCTCACTTTTCCATCTTTGGAAGAAGTGTTCTTGATAGAATGCCCCAAGATGAAATTTTTTTCTGAAGGAATCATAAGCACACCAGAGCTGGAGACTGTCCTGTTAACAGAAGAGGACGATGAAGGGTACTGGGAGGAGGACCTTAATTCCACTGTACAAAAATTGTTTGTGGAGATGGTATGAATTGTTTCACCAAATCTTCTTACCTTTTCTATATTTTGATGTGTTTTTTCTCTTGCACAAAGCATAAAACTTTATGAAATTGCACAACAATTTTATGAATTACCCATCACACTTCCAGAATTTATTTTTCCTATTTTGTTGTCTATCATACTAACTTTATGAAATCACCCTTCTTAATGCAGAATTTGAGACGTAGTCTAACTAATGATACCCCTCAATCACATAAAACTTCATTATTATGTATTAGTTTTTGTGATCGCATCACTACTTATTTAATTAACTCATTTTTGTTAACTAAACTGTAGGGTGATGGAGCAGCACAATCCGAACAGCTAAGCATACCCAAACAGTCAACATTAGCCCGTGAGGATAAAACAGAAGGAAATGCACCAAGTGCCGTCTCTGAGAGACGAGCTTCTGAGGAATTGCATTTAACTGGGACCTCAGAACCCAGAAAAGATATCTCTCCTGTTTTTGAAACATTACCGAGAAACAAACAAAATAGGATCAAAGGTGTTTTGCTAGAACCCAAGATTGCTCAATTAGCTTCAAGATACCAAGATTTCCATGCAGCTTCAAATGATAAGGTAGCTCTCTCTTCTATCTAGAAATACTTTCTAGAATATGATTTTGAATTAATTGCTAATGGCATCTGGAATGTAGGATTCTAGACAAGGTCAAAGTTCCTCAACTCCCATGGATTCTAAAGCTCAGATCTCTCTACAAGAGCAGACAGATTCCCAAGCAACTGATAATGTAATTTTCTCCCTCAGAATATAACTTCTTATACACTTTCTTGCACCTTCATGTAGACTTTAAATTTCTTGCAGGATGGGACCTCACTGGCCAATGCTATTCCTACTATTTCAGTTCAGCAGAGCTACAGAGTTCTTGTATCTCGTGCCACCTCTGTTGAGCAAGTCTCTATGTTGACTTCTACATCCTTAACCAACAGAACTTCCTCTCAAGAGCTCACATTCGACATCGCTTCAAGCTCTAATACTCCTGGATCTCTCAAGTCCTGTGGTGTGAGCTTTGAGATATATAGGTGTTCTATAGATTTGTTAAAGGAGCTCTTAACGAAATCCCCTGCAGAAGTAGCCACATCAGCTGACCGCTTATTGCTGCTGTCCAGTTTGAAGAATTTAAAGAACTGTCCGTTTCTGAATTATCAGCAACAAAAAATTATTCAACTCTACGTTGAGAATTTCGACACTTTGGTCACAAGCCACCCATTTGATGAGCAAAAAATCGACTGGACTAGTTCTATCAAGTCCTCTATTGAAGATCACAAAAGGAGACTTGCCGAGCTGGGTATTTCTGATGAAGATTTTACCAACAAGATTAGCAGGCTTAAAGCAGAAAAGGATGCCCTTAACAAGCGACTTCAGGAAATTCAGGAAGAAGAAGATCATATCCGAAGAAACAAGGAAAGTCTCCATGCCCAGAGAATCATTAGAAATGGAAGACTAGAAATACAGATTGGTGCTTTGTTAGAAGCTCAGAGGCATAAAAGAGAAACTGAGGGTAGGGCTAGCCATGTTAATGAGAATTGGGCTAAGTTCAGGAGCTTGTTTGCTTAAGCTTCGAGCTTTGCTTTTGGAAAAGAACTATTCTTGCTCTGCTGGTTACCATAAACCATTTGTAGAACAACATTTTTGCATGTAACTGTAAGGGCTCTGTTGGTAGCATCATGCTTGTTAAGAAATTTGCCTTCAAATGCAGAATTATGGCAAGAAGTAGGGCAAAAATTCAAGCCCCAATGGGTTCTAATGGATAAAAACGGTTTATAGAAAGTTAATGTAATGATTATTTTAAGATTTTGAGCTAGACTGATGAAAATTCAATTACAAATAAAAAATATGCTATATTCAAAAGTTTTAGTAGAATTTAATAAAATATTATCAGCTTCCAACTACCAACAAAGACCTGACAAAATAACCTTGCATGTTCTTACAATCAGGGAATTTCATGATTAAAAAAAAAATCAGGGAATTTTAATGGGATATGGTTCTCTAGCCTTCAATCTTCTGCTAGGCCTCCAAACTGAGATCTTGGGCTGATATCAATTGATAAAAAAAAAACCTCCCTTTCTTTCAATAAAAAAAGAGAGGCTCTAAGTCCTTTTGATCTTTCTTGAAAACTTTCTTTGAACTTGTCACCAGCGATTTTCTGGCTTCACAGCTGATTCCTCACCATGTGAAAGAACAAGAACATCTGAACTTGTTTTGATTGTCGATATGAAGAATGATAGTAAAATGTTTGCCCTTAATTAATGCAGCTAGTGCTAGCACAAAAATCAAATCTTTCAAATAATGTATTGTGCATGATTTCATGACACATGCATCACAGTTAAACTAGGCATAATTTTACCAAGGAAGGGAATTGATGGAGTCTAAACAACACCGAATTTTAGCCAAGAATTGATGGAGTCTAAACAAGGCATAATTAAGTAATCCACGTACTTAGGTAGTTTTTTCATGGTTAAAAAACAATTATATTTCTGAAGAATATTTTTAGCTGTGGTTTTAAAAAAATACATAAATAAAAAAAATATTACCTTAGCTTATTAAGAAAGGGAATTTTAAGGACCATTGCACTTGTGTGCATGCTTTAGCCGAATACCCTTTTGAAATCAACTTTATCATTAGGTTGGATCAGATTCTTAATGTTGTTATAATTAATCACATGACGCAAACCTCACCATGCTTGCATATACAAGAACACGCACAATATACGTAATATTTTAACTAAATTCTCCCTACTTGCCTATAAATCAAGCACAGCCCAACCATATCATATGCAAAACAAACACCTATACTACAGCTAATTTCGCCTCCCTCTAAATTAATACCTATCGCCTTTCAATGTCGACCTCATTATCCAAACTTGGCCAAAGGAGCCAAGTCGCTGCAGCCAACCTAGCAAACTTGTTGCCAACAGGCACAGTCCTTGCAGCTGAAGCCCTAATACCTTCATTCACTAACAACGGTGAATGTACACTTGCGAACGAATACCTTACCTTAGGTATCATTGTGTGTTGTTCACTAGGTTGTTTTCTTTCCTCCTTTACTGATAGCATCATTGGCAAGGATGGCAAGATGTACTATGGCATAGCCACATGGAAAGGTTTATATGTATTCAATGATATCGACAGTACTGATGGTGCAGGAAGGGAAGAAATGAAAGACAAGGCTGAATGTAGAATCACTTTTACAGACTTCGTTCATGCTTTTACATCACTAACAGTTTTCTTGGTTTTTGCTCTTAGTAATTCTAACGTGCAGAATTGCTTCTTCCCTAAAGCAGGAGCTAATGAGAAAGCACTTATCATGAATTTGCCGTTAGGAGCTGGGTTCCTGGCAAGCTTTTTGTTCATGTTATTTCCTACCAAACGAAGAGGAATTGGCTATGGTGACACAGCACCAGCTATGACATTAAATAAAGAACTTTCTTTTCCGAAAAAAGAAGGCATAATTAAAGAGTCTGCATAATTAAAGATCGCATAGCACTGCATAATGGCCTGAAAAGTATGTTCTTCATATTGTGTACTACTCAATATCAGGATGATCATATGAGAAACTTGAATCAGTTCATGTACAAGAGAGCGGTGAGGGGAAAAGAATGAAGTAGCTGCGATGTTCATTAACAGAATATATTTCTTCACCTAGCCTTCGGAGCTAAAAATGATGCTTGTAATGGAAATTAAATTCAAGATCTTCCTAGTTTTGAATATTTAATTTCCTTAAACCATATAAGCAATATTCAAGTTTAATTGTGTGTGAAAATGGTGGTTGTAACTGTTAGAGGTAAATGAGAATTTTGATTCAAAATAGAGTTATGTATATTTAAAAGAAAAAAAAGTTGTGACTATTAAGATAAAAAACAGTTTATCTTCAAATAAATGTCAATTTAATTATTAAAATTGTCAGTATAAATTCTAATTTTTTTTTTTTATATAATTATAAGAACTCTACATTTTTATTGTATATTTTTCTTCTCGTCAAATTTTTGTATTCCTTTTAATATGTTCATGAGAGATTTACGTTTAGAAATCACTGTTCATTCTCATTTATGCTAATAAGAGTAAGAGATTGAGTGGATTTGAAAAACAATATTGCAATCAAATTGTAAGCATCACAAAATAAATAATAAATTATTTTAAGATTAAAAAATTCATCATTTCCTCAATCTAATTCTTTTTAATATTAGTTTATATGGGTGTGTGTGTGTTTTATATGTATTTTTAGAAATTATAAGAAAACAAAAAATAACAATAACATAAAAGGCCTCCATAAAAATAAAACTATAAGAGGCCGGCAGTGTTTTGTTTTAAAGAAGTAAGAAAAACTTTGGACCTCCATAAAAAATAAAACTATAAAAAAATAATGACTAATTTTTGTTGTTGAAAAAAAATAATGACTAATCAAAAAAGAATGTTTGTTGATATTATGAAAAGACACTCTCTAGATATTCTTAAAATATTCCAATAATCTTATTTAACAAAAAAAATAAATATTTATTACTAGTAAAAGCAAATCAAACGTGTTGAATGATAAATTAAAAAATCAATATTAAAAAAAAATAAAAAACCTAACTTGATTCAGCAAGTTAAATTCATGGCCTGATTGTGAAGTCAGGACAATCCTTTTTATATATAAAAAAACCCAAATAAAACAATGAAAGACAAAACTAAAAAAAAAAACATGAGTTAACTCGAGTGAAATTGACTAACTTGCAACCTAAGCTATGAAATCGGGATAACTTTATAGAAAAAAATAAAAAAATTACAAAGATGAAAGCTTGATAACCCAATGTTGAAATATAAAAATAAAAAAATAAATTTAAAAAATACATTATAAAAAAAAAATGAATTCAAATCGAACTAATATTTGAATCCATAACCTCGTCATGAGACCAGGTTACTCCATATATATAAAGCATACTAAAAAAAGACGCAAAAATCTTCATCATCTAAAATAAAAAAAAAATTGAATATAAAAATTAAAAAAATGAAGTTAAAATTTGGTATAAAAATAAGTGAAATAAAACAATGAGGGTTGAAATTAAAAAATAAAATAAATAAAGAAAAGGATAAAAACAAAAAAAAATAGCAATTAAAAGAATGATGAACAAATCTAATATAAAAATAAAATAAAATAAAATAAAATAATTAGGGATGAGATTAAAAATAAAATAAATCAATAAAATAAAGAAAAATAATAAAAAATTGAAATAAAAAGAATGATGATCAAATCTGACAAATAAAAAAAATTGAAGGAGGATGAAATTAAAAAAAATTAATTTTATAAATTATTTTAAATAAAATAAATAGTAATGAAAACAACTTGGACCAAATCTAAATGAAAAATAAATTGGATGGATGCCTTGACAATTTAAAGGGCCAAACATGAAAATCAAGGTGAAAAAGAAAATAAAAAGAAAAAAAAATTGTTAATTTCAAATTAGAAGCTCATTGATTATATGCATAATTTAAGTATGGAAAAGACGTCAATACAAATCAAATAACATCTCAAAAGCAATCATTCAACCATATCACCTATCAACCTATATATGAATAGCGTTGTCTTAACCTATATATTAACATTTTCAATGCATGTATTAACCACCTTTTCTATTTAAATAATATTTATATTTATTTAATTACCAAAAAGCCTTTCTATTAATTTGATCATTGTCAAAAAAAAAACATGATGAAAATATATAAAAGCATGCAAATAAATGCTTATATTTTTTTTCTTGCTTTTAAAAGCAAATAAATCATTTTATTGTTTTACAAAATATGAAAGTACTGGAAATCTACTAGAGCACAGGTTTAACAATTTTTTCTTTTTAAGAACAATGAAGTTATTTTACTGTATAAAATGATATAGAAAGATCTCCTTGCCCTTGTTTAATTTGAAAATGACTTTTAAGCTATAAGGATAAGACCGTTTTACCCTCACAGAAAGCTAGGTGATTTTTTTGGGGGAAAAATAGTTATTTTATTATTTTAATTCATAATAATTTGTGTTATGATATAAAATGAAAAACTAAGCTTTATAATGCTTTTTTTAATTGATGGATTTGTGAAAAAAACTAAGACAAAAATTAGGTTTTTCCTGCTATGTCATAGGGTTGTGGAGTGATGGCCTAACCTATTCCTAAAAAAACCTGTCCCTTTTGAAAACAAGAAACACTTTAATATTTAAGTTAATAAATGCATGAAGAGAAAATAACATATATAAAAAATAAAAATAAAATGAAGTTTAAGGAGTGTGTTTCTGCGTATAGTTTGACTCTGTGTGCATGTCTACATGCTATAACTTTGTATGGCTAGAGTTTGTGTCTTGGTATACGTGATGAGTCTGGTTGGATGTCTTTGAACTTGTCGTATGGTCTAGCACATATGGCTAACTCACATTTTTCCATAGCTAGACTTTCTCGTCTTTACCTATGAACTGGGTGTGTTTGTATGCCCATCCTTGAGCTCACTCCATGGAGAAGAAAACTATTTGAGCTAAAAAATTATCATGGAGGGTTATTCCATTATTGCCTGGGTTGCTGTGCTTGCTCTGCTGTACGTGCAGAAGTTGATGCCTAACATTGGTAGTGGTGCGAGGTTCTGTGATTGAAGAATCATTTGGTGATAGCACTAGAGCTGGCGATTGCAGTTGTCGGAGCACTAGTGACTAGTTGTGGTGTACACCATTATAATTACAAGAAACTTGTCTAAATTTTATTTTTATTTATTATTAATATTTTTTATTTTTATTTTTTATTTAAATTTATTTAATTAAATGTATCCATAAACTTTTAAAATTTATTAAAGAATAAAATGCAAGTAAAAAGAAGAGATTAAAAAAAAAAAAAAGGGAGGAGAGACAGGTGAGAGTGGAGTGAGAAAAGGAGGAGAGGGAGTGACCGGGCTGGCCATGAAAATAATCTTGAGAATGGAGAACAAAGTCTGTGCTCCATCAAATCTGGAACATATAATTAATGGAGTAGAAATCTCATTCCCCTCGAGAATCACGTGTTCTCTCCAAGCATCTTCCTTTCTTTTTGCTTTTTTTTTTTTTTGTTCTTTTTTCTTTTACGAGATTTGCTAGGCATCATTATCCCCTGTAAAGTGAATGAGAACATAATAATAATTATTTTTTAATGTATTTTTATTTAAAAATACATTAAAATAATATTTTTTTTATTTTTTAAAAATATTTTTGATACCAATACATTAAAAAAATTAATTTTAAACAAAAAAAATAAAATAAAATTTTACTTAACTATTCATACGTAGCAATATCAATGGGAATCCTGGCATGCTTTAATTGTATATTTTAACAAGTTATTTATTTATTTATTTATTTATTTCGGGGGGATAGAAGGAATATATCTCAATAGTTAAATAAAAAAAGAAAATCCATTATGCAGAAGGAACCACACCGAATATCATTTGGAAGACTAATCCTTTTCTGATTCCCTGTAATCAAATTCCTTGACCTGTCATTGTCTTGGAATGCAAATCTATTGGGTTCCATTTGGTGAAGCAATTATTGTGACAAATTGGATTTTGGAGGGTAAATTTACCTTCGAAAACAAAAAAGGGTTTGATTCTTACAAAATTCCCTTGTAATAAATTTACAATTTGAATCAGACAAGAAGAGCTGGCCAGCCTATTTTGGAGTCCAAAACGACAAGACCCAACTAAACAAACATCCGGCCCGAACGAAACAATCTAACTAAACAAAATAACAATTAGAATTAGAAGAACAAACTAATTGTTGCTGTTTTATTTATTGCGGGTTTACTGTTTGTCATTTTTCGAGCCTTCGTTTGCTGTTTGATAAGTAGTTTTTTTTAAAAAAAAAACACTTTTTATGAAAAATAAATGATTTTTTAATATCTAACAGTTGCAAAAAATAAGTTAAAAAATCATTTATTATTATTGTTTTTTGAAGTTTATCTCATATATATATAGAGCATTAAATAAAATATAAAAAGTGTCATGATGAACTTTTTTTATTATTATATTATATATTTTTATATAGTTTATTTTATAAAATATAACTATAGATATAATATAAATAATTTAAATATACGATTATAGACATATAAACTATTTTTTTTTGGTGTTGGGAGAACATTGTAAATAATTTTTTTTTTATGGTATAATAATCTTACAATGCAATTTATATGATTTAAAATGTATGATTATTGTATAATATAACATGTTCTTGTATTCAAATATATTTTTTAGCAATATTATCTTAATTAAAGTATTATATGTACTAATCTATAAAATTAATATATTTATATATTGTATATTAATGCCTTCTAATATATTATTTCCAATATAAATATATTATTAATTGATTATTTTTTAATACTATCATAAATCAACCTTCCACAATAATGTAGCCAAACAGAGAAAATCAGAAAAATACTTTAGGAGCACACTTTCTAGCATACAAATAAGGTCTTATTCTTTTAAATTTCTCTTGTGCCCTTGTTTTTTCCCATTACTATAAATGTTTTTTTGTTTTTCAAATAGATCCTTTTACAATTAATTGATTTGAGATTTGAACAACGTAATTTGATTTAATTATGTTAGTATGAAGTTCTAGTGGTTGTAAAAAAAATTAAATATTAATTTGAGTCAACGATTGATTTTGTAAAAAATAATTAGATTTCTTTTCCTCCATAAAATTGAAAATAAAAGGGATTGAAATTGAAGGAAAAAAAAAACTTTGTTATTTCCAAAGAAGAAACCATGCAAAACAAGAGGAGAAATTATAACCGAAAGAATTGAAAATAAAAGGGATTGAAAAACAAATT